GTGCTTAGTGCCTGTTCTTGTGCTGCTATGATCAGTGCCTTAGTGCAGTCTTAGTGCAGTGCCTTAGTGCAGTCTTAGTCCAGCCCTTTTCAGCCACTGATAGGATTTCTCAATGTCAGCCACCTCAGCTATCTGTTGATGGTACATGCCATGCAGGGTCTTGTCTTGCCATGGTACTTCCTCCATTTGAACTTCCTCCCATGTCTGCTGCTGCCTCAGGCATTCTCTCAGCAGCTCATCTTTGGATGTGATCTTACTGATGTACTCCTGGATGCTCTGGGTTTCATCCAGGACAGTGGGTTTGACACTCACCAGACTCTGCCCACCCTCTTTCTGGCTGGTGTACAGTCTCTGGGTGTTTGACTTGGCGTGGAAACCTCCATACATTGTGAGGAGCTTCCGGCTCTTCACATCAGCAGCCTCCATCTCCTCCTTTGGCCAGCTCACTATATTGGCAGGGTATCTGATGACTGGCAGGTCATAAGTGTTGATGGCCTGGATCTTGTTCTTCCCATTGAGCTGCCTCTTAAGGACCAGTCTTATCCTTTGGTGGTACTTGGATTTTGCTGTCTTCCTTCCCTCCACATTGTGGTTCCCATGTGACTGTGGGATACCAAGGTACCTATAACTGGTCTGTATGTCTTCTATGTGGCCCACTGGTAGTTCCACCCCATCAGTCTTAACTACCTTCCCTCTCTTTACTACCAGCCGCCCACGCTTCTCCAGTCCAAATGACATCCCGGTGTCCTCTGTAGATCCATGTCAGGTGGATCAGTGATGTCTCATTCACTCTTAGCATACAGCTTGATGTCATCCATGTAGAGGATGTGGCTGATGGTAGTTCCACTTTTAACATGTACCCGTATCCAGTCCTTGCGATTATCTGGCTAAGGGGGTTCAAGCCTATGCAGAACAGCAGTGGGGACAATACATCACCTTGGTGTATGTTGCACTTGATGGCCACTTGTGCGAGCTGTCTTGAGCTGATTTCCCGTGTTGTCTTTCACAGTCCCATTGAGTTCTTGAGGAAGGTCCTTAGTGTCCTGTTGAGTTTGTATAGTGCCAGGCATTCACAGATTCATGTGTGTGGCATTGAGTCATAAGCTTTCCTGTAGTCAATCCAGGCTATGCTAAGATTGGTCTCTCTGGACCTTGAAACTCATGCAACTGCTCTGTCTATGAGCAACTAGTGTTTTGAGCCTCTGGTGTTGTTCCCAATGCCCATATGGTCTTGTAGCTTGGTGGCTATGATGCCTGATAGACCTTTCCATGTTGTGGAGAGGCAGGTTATTGGCCAGTAGTTTGCTGTTCCCTTGTGGGGCTCTTTCATGATCAGCACTGTCCTCCCTTGTGTTAGCCAGTCTGGGTGGGAGCCTGCTGCTAGCAACTGGTTCATCAATGCTGCTAGGTGTTCATGTACTGCTGTTAGTTTCTTTAGCCAGTAGGTGTGGATCATGTCTGGGCCAGGTGCTGTCCAGCTCTTCATGTTCTTGACCCACTGTTGGATGTCTGCTACTGTGATGGTGACTGGGTCCTGTTCTGGGAAATTGCTGTGGTCTGCTCTCAGGTCCTGCAGCCACTTTGTGGTGTTATGTGTCTTCTCTTTCTCCCATATATTCTTCCAGTACTATTCAGTTTCTGTTGTTGGTGCACTGCAGTTGGGAGTACACCTTGGATGATTCTTTGGAGAACAGGTCATTTATATTCTTGGCCTCTGCTTCTCTAGTGTATTTCCTTAGCCTGGTAGCCAGTGCTGTGAGTCTTTATTTAGCAGTCTTTAGGGCTTCGGGTAGAGTCAGGCCCTTGTATTTTTTCAGTAGCGGAGTCTTATCCTTAATCTCCACACCGTTCTGTAATTCCACCAGCTGACTAACTTCTCTCTGAATTGCCTTGACCTTAGTCTCCAACCTCATTTTCCAGGGAAGGTATGTACTGCTGTTCTTCTTGATCGTGTAGCCAGGCATCTCCAGGCACCAGTTAATTGATTTGAGTTATGATGGTAGTAGGGATTGTCACGAGGGCTTTATTAGCATCTTCTAGCATACTTTCTGATGATAATTCTCCACTGAGCCTTGGTAATTGGTCTTGAGGGTTGACTGTAGCTAGTTTATCCATGATCTTATGCCTCATATCAGCTGTTGTGCTCTGTAATGGAGGGGGTGACAGTGATGTTCCAGCTTCAGGTGTTGGCTGCACATTCAGTGGTTCTTCTGGGTCTTCTTGAATCCAGGATGTAATGTGGGATTGGTCTATCTCAGGTTGTGAGAGCAGCTTCCTCTTCACTGTGTTGAAGTGTTGGGTCACTAGCTGCTTCTCAGTGTGGATGTAAGTCTTCTGTCCATCCATAGTTCCCTCATATATTTCATATATCCCTTCTCATTAGGTCTGCTGTTGTAGTAGCATTCCATCAATGCCAGGTTCTCTTTCTCATCCATGTATGGTTTGTTCCAGTAGCCCACTTATTGTCAGATTGTCCTGGTTCCCCAATATCTGACGCAGACCTTGTTAATCCAGGTGACGTCCAAGTCTGCATGACTCTCTTAGTTCATGTCACTCTCATATTTGAGGTAGGCAGGTGAAGCATTAGGGGGTCTTTGTCCAAGGACCCCTACTGGTAAGTGGCAAGGTAGGTATGAGCTGGGATTTTTCATATA